AGTCTAGTCTATAGTCTAGTCTATAGTTTAGTCTATAGTCTAGTCTATAGTCTAGTCTATAGGCTAGTCTATAGTCTAGTCTATAGTCTAGTCTATAGTCTAGTCTATAGTCTAGTCTATAGTCTGGTCTATATTCTATCTATAGTCTAGTCTATAGTATAGTATATAGTCTAGTCTATAGTCTTGTCTATTGTCTTGTCTATAGTCTAGTCTATAGTCTAGTCCATAGTCTAGTCCATAGTCTAGTCTATAGTCTAGTCTATAGTCTAGTCTATAGTCTAGTCTATAGTCTATTCTATAGTCTAGTCTATAGTCTAGTCCAATCGACAAAAATTTGTCGATAAACCGATCGACGTTAAAGTTTTAATGCCCTTATGCATAGTGTAGTATATAGTCTTGTCTATAGTCTAAATTATGGTCTAGTTTCAATTATTTGATTAATAGCGTTGGAAAGGTCAGAGAAATAGCTTTAATTTGAAATGTATTAGCTATTTATGGTCTAGAGAGATAAAATGTCTTGTAGTGATATTGTCTTATGGAATTGTTCCAATTTGGTGTTCTTAAGATATTCGTGTTTTGCGAAAGTTTGATGTCAGTAGATGTGCGGACAGACATAAGCGTTTCATCGATATATGTATGTGTCTTTCTTTTCAAGGGATAAGAAACTATTATTCTGGGAAATGATGCAAAAAAATGTGGGTTTTATGGAAGTTTTAAGATGGCAATACTTGGGTTTGTATATGCATATATACGTGTCTGTGTGAGAGATTTTCTCTATTTATTAACAATAGAATCTGTAATAAATATTTATGGACTGAGTATAGATAATGCAGTACGTCACAAATATTACATGAAGTTCAACGTATAAATGACATAAAATGAGATTAAAAACAATTTATTTATAAGAATATTATAAATTCAATTAAATAATTGTTTAAAAGTTTTTTTAAACATATTTTTTTCGCTTACGGACGGTGTTTTGGTTTTTTATATTTCAACAATCAATTTTAATACTTAAATAATTTATAACAGATTTTTTTATATTTTAATTTTTTTAATAAAATTTATTGGTGTAATGAACTATTTAACCAAAGAATATATACACATATTTATATGCAACATTTAAATTACAACAAAAACATTTTATGAAAATTAACATTATTTTCATTTGGACACGTTACAACTTCATTGTTCTACAACAATTGCAACAATTAATCATGGAGCTGGGGAGGCTGTTGCTGTTGGGTGGAACCATGGTTGATGTCAACCATAAATTTATGGTTGATATTGTTTTTTTATTATTACAATTTTTTTTCAAGTATTTTACAAATTAAATTATAATTAGCAAAAAAAAAAAAAAAATACAAACAATTATAACAAAAGTTTTAACATGATACGAGTACAATTATTCGAAGTTCATTTACATTTGAGTAGACAAATTAATTCATCTAATTAGTTATAAATAACGTCATAATTAAATAAATTTATACATTTCAAATTACTGTTAGCAAAATAAAAACAATTGTTGCAGTAGAACTGGTAGTAGCAGTAGTGGGTGCTGCTAAATTGGTAACGATCTAAAAGCCTCAGGTGTGGTTGTTTATCCATACAAAAGACCACAATTATTTCAACATTTGGTTAGCACTACTACTGAGTTTATAATAAATGTATTTAACAATAGAAAATTGTTTTATTAACAACTAATATGACCACAATTGCAATGTTTATAAAACATCAAATTTACATTATGAGCCCATTGAATTTAATCCTGAAATCACAAATTGGAACCTCCCTCCACACCCAAAACATATTTATAGTACAACTTGTTATACTGCTCGAGGAAAACAAAAGTTAATATCGTATGTGGGGTAATACGAGCAAAATAGGGAGTAAAACCTTTCCACAAAGCCAACACACCCTCTTTCCTCAAAATTTTTACCAAAACATCCACTGTTCCCGAATATTCCGGCTTAGTTCCCGCGGCAATTTTCATATTTTGTATTCTAGTCTTAGCAATATCCAAAGGCATTGAGGCCACAGAAGTTAAAAGTCCTGAACAGAAACTTGCTGCCACATGTAAACCAAAACCTTGTGACATTTGGAAAGGGCCTTGCTGTAGATAATTTTTAACTTGACTATATGAAGCCAATTGACACATATTTACTACCATGGCTCTGCCGACAGTGGGTAGGCAACCTCGCCATAAACCCGACAAACCTTCTTCCTTGAGTATACGCCACAAGGCATCTACGACATTTTTGTAATTTCTTCTCTCACTCTCCGGTAACCTACCATCGGTTACCATACGTATCAAAGCCACCTCTGCGGGATTACCAATAAAAGCTCCTGCAGCTCCGGCCATTATACCCATAGACATACTAGCCGCCACTGTAGGGACTTGCTGCCTGTTTCTTCTATACAAATCTATTAAAATTTGATAAACCCCCATTCGAGTGGTAGTATAGGAGGCCTGTCTTAGTAAACCTGCTCCCAGACCTTGCCAGCACTTTAATAGACCCTCATTTTTTATCACTTTCAAAAGACAATCTAAAGAATTCTTATAGTCTCTTGTTTTACCACCCCGCTCCTGCCATTTGCATGCGTGTTTTAACTAAATCCATGGGTTGTACGAAACAAGTTGCTGTCATGCCAGCACCACCACCTATAACGAATTTCATATAATTGGGCATTTCTTCGTCTCAGCCATGATTTGAAATTTGGGTTGCAACAGGAATTTGGAAGACAATTCAATTTTTTTAGCCGAAATTATAATTTTGTTTATTATATTTTAATTTTAGTTTAATGTAAATTAGTGTTGTAAATTGATAAATTGTTTATGTTTTTATTATATGCCAGGGAACAGAACTGAACTAGAATTGAACTAGAACTGAACTAGAACTGAACTAGAACTGAACTAGAACTGAACTAGAACTGAACTAGAACTGAACTAGAACTGAACTAGAACTGAACTAGAACTGAACTAGAACTGAACTAGAACTGAACTAACTGAACTAGAACTGAACTAGAACTGACTGAACTAGAACTGAACTAGAACTGAACTAGAACTGAACTAGAACTGAACTAGAACTGAACTAGAACTGAACTAGAACTGAACTAGAACTGAACTAGAACTGAACTAGAACTGAACTAGAACTGAACTAGAACTGAACTAGAACTGAACTAGAACTGAACTAGAACTGAACTAGAACTGAACTAGAACTGAATAGAACTGAACTAGAACTGAACTAGAACTGAACTAGAACTGAACTAGAACTGAACTAGAACTGAACTAGAACTGAACTAGAACTGAACTAGAACTGAACTAGAACTGAACTAGAACTGAACTAGAATTGAACTAGAATTGAACTAGAACTGAACTAGAACTGAACTAGTACTGAATTAGAACTGAACTAGAACTGAACTAAACTGAACTAGAACTGAACTAGAACTGAACTAGAACTGAACTAGAACTGAACTAGAACTGAACTAGAACTGAACTAGAACTGAACTAGAACTGAACTAGAACTGAACTAGAACTGAACTAGAACTGAACTAGAACTGAACTAGAACTGAACTAGAACTGAACTAGAACTGAACTAGAACTGAACTAGAACTGAACTAGAACTGAACTAGAACTGAACTAGAACTAACTAGAACTGAACTAGAACTGAACTAGAACTGAACTAGAACTGAACTAGAACTGAACTAGAACTGAACTAGAACTGACTAGAACTGACGAACGGAACTAGAACTGAACTAGAACTGAACTAGAACTGAACTAGAACTGAACTAGAACTGAACTAGAACTGAACTAGAACTGAACTAGAATGAACTAGAACTGAACTGAACTGAACTAGAACTGAACTAGAACTGAACTAGAACTGAACTAGAACTGAACTAGAACTGAACTAGAACTGACTAAACTGAACTAGAACTGAACTAGAACTGAACTAGAACTGAACTAGAACTGAACTAGAACTGAACTAGAACTGAACTAGAACTGACTAGAACTGAACTAGAACTGAAGCTAGAACTGAACTAGAACTGAACTAGAACTGAACTAGAACTGAACTAGAACTGAACTAGAACTGAACTAGAACTGAACTAGAACTGAACTAGAACTGAACTAGAACTGAACTAGAACTGAACTAGAACTGAACTAGAACTGAACTAGAACTGAACTAGAACTGAACTAGAACTGAACTAGAACTGAACTAGAACTGAACTAGAACTGAACTAGAACTGAACTAGAACTGAACTAGAACTGAACTAGAACTTGAACTAGAACTGAACTAGAACTGAACTAGAACTGAACTAGAACTGAACTAGAACTGAACTAGAACTGAACTAGAACTGAACTAGAACTGAACTAGAACTGAACTAGAACTGAACTAGAACTGAACTAGAACTGAACTAGAACTGAACTAGAACTGAACTAGAAACTAGAACTGAAACTAGAACTGAACTAGAACTGAACTAGAAACTGAACTAGAACTGAACTAGAACTGAACTAGAACTGAACTAGAACTGAACTAGAACTGAACTAGAACTGAACTAGAACTGAACTAGAACTAGAACTAGAACTGAACTAGAACTGAACTAGAACTGAACTAGAACTGAACTAGAACTGAACTAGAACTGAACTAGAACTGAACTAGAACTGAACTAGAACTGAACTAGAACTGAACTAGAACTGAACTAGAACTGAACTAGAACTGAACTAGAACTGAACTAGAACTGAACTAGAACTGAACTAGAACTGAACTAGAACTGAACTAGAACTGAACTAGAACTGAACTAGAACTGAACTAGAACTGAACTAGAACTGAACTAGAACTGAACTAGAACTGAACTAGAACTGAACGAGAACTGAACTAGAACGAAATCGAAAATTTTTTAAAATTTTTAAATATTTCTCTATTTACAGAAGATTTTCGAAAAAGGCGATATTTTAAAAATTTTCACGTTTTCGCAAAATTTTTGAAATTTTCAGAATGTTTAGAAACTATTTTTATTTGTTGTTAAAAATATATTAGAACGAACTGAACAAAACTATTTTTTTTTACAAACTTGAACCACCCTCAGTGCCCAAAACATATTTATAATACAATTTATTATACTGCTCCAGAAAGACGAAAATCAATATAGTTAAAGGCGTCAAACGGGCAAAATACGGGGTAAAACCTTTCCATAAAGCCAATGGTCCTTCGTTACGACACACCCTTACTAGAACGTCTATGGTACCGGAGTATTCTGGTTTTGCCCCGGGCGCAGTCTTCATATTTTGTATACGAGTCTTAGCAATATCCATGGGGAGTGATGCTATTGATGTAAGAAGGCCTGAAAAAGAACTAGCACCAACATGCACACCAAAACCTTCTTTCATTTGTAGAGGTCCTTTTTGTAAATAGTTTTTCGCTTGACTATAGGAAGCCAATTGGCACATGTTTACAATCATGGCTCGACCCACCGTGGGTAGACAACCTTTCCATAGCCCCGGCAAACCCTCTTCTTTAAGAATCCTTGTTAATGCATCGGCTACATTTTTATAATTTCTTCTTTCAGCTGGTGGCAATTTACCATCGGTTACCATACGTATGAGGGCCACATCGGCTGGATTTCCTACAAAAGCACCAACGGCTCCCGCCATTATGCCCATACCCATACTTGCCGGTACTGTGGGGGCATGTTGAGTATGGTTTTTATAGGCTTCTATTAAATTCTGATAAACCCCCATTCTTGCCGTAGTATAGGTAGCCTGTCTTAATAAACCAGCTCCCAGACCATGCCAACACTTTAGTAAACCTTCATTTTTCAGCACTTTCATTAGACAGTCCAAGGAATTTTTGTATTCACTCTCCTTGCCACCAATACCAGCCATTTGCATGCGAGTTTTAACCAAATCCATGGGTTGTACAAATAGTAATCCGGTCATACCAGAAGCACCACCGATTATAAATTTCACATAGTTGGGCATTTTCTTTTCTTCGGTCATGTTGGTTTTGGTTTTTTTGAGGTTTTAATTTTTTGAATGCTTTTTTTTAATTCAACGGAAATTTTTAATGAAAGAAAATCAAAATTTTGAAAAGTTGTTGAAATAACTTAATGTTATAAAAAACAAATTGTAATAGAATTCTAAGGGTTTTATCATAAAAATTTTGCTTCATTATACCACGATTGCGATGTTGGTAAATAAAAGGAAAACAATTTGGAATTTTGGTCTGATGTCAGGGCTACAGAATGATCTAAAGTCTTAACTATTGACTGATCTACAGTCAAGACTATAGGTTGATCTATAGGCTGTTCTTTAATCAAGTGTATGGGCTAATCTATTGAGACTATAGACTGATATATAGTCAATAGTATAATCTGATCTATAGTCAAGACTATATACTCATTTATAATCAAGACTATAGACTAACCTATAGTCAAGACTATAGACTAACCTATAGTCAAGACTATAGACTAACCTATAGTCAAGACTATAGACAAATCTATAGTCAAGACTATAGACTAATCTATAGTCAAGACTATAGACTGATCTATAGTCAAGATTATAGACTAATCTATATTTAAGACTATAGACTAATCTATAATCAATACTATAGATTGATCTATAGTCAAGACTATAGACAGATCTATAGTCAATACTATAGACTGATCTATAGTCAAAACTATAGACTGATCCATAGTCAGGACTATAGACTCATCTATAGTCAAGACTATAGACTGATCTATAGTCAAGACTTTAGACTGATCTATAGTCAAGACTTTAGACTGATCTATAGTCAAGACTATAGACTGATCTATAGTCAAGACTATAGACTGATCTATAGTCAAGACTATAGACTGATCTATAGTCAAGACTATAGACTGATCTATAGTCAAGACTATAGACTGAACTATAGTCAAGACTATAGACTGATCTATAGTCAAGACTATAGACTGATCTATAGTCAAGACTATTGACTGATCTATAGTCAAGACTATAGACTGATCTATAGTCAAGACTATAGACTGATCTATAGTCAAGACTATAGACTGATTTATAGTCAAGACTATAGACTGATTTATAGTCAAGACTATAGACTGATTTATAGTCAACACTATAGACTAATCTCTAGTTAAGTCTGTAGACTGGTCTATAGTCAAGACTATAGACTGATCTCTAGTCAAGACTATAGACTAATCTATAGTCAAGACTATAGACTGATCTATAGTCAAGACTATAGACTGATCTATAGTCAAGACTATAGACTGATCTATAGTCAAAACTATAGACTGATCTATAGTCAAAACTATAGACTGATATATAGTCAAGACTATAGATCAATAGGCAAGACTGGTATATAGTCAAGGTCATAATAAAGGCTGTAGACTGATCTGGAGTCAAGGCTAAAAACTGGTCTATAATCAAGGCTATTGACTGATCTATTGTGAATGCTATAAATAGTTCTATAGCCATGGCTATCTACATTTAAAGATATAGACTGATCTACAGTCAGTAGTATAGACTTGTCTGTAGTCATAGACAGGTATAGACAAGACTATATAGACTCTTATTATATACATGACTATTAATAAGTCTGTAGACGGTTGCTGCATACACATTGCACGTTTCGGAATCTTGCCCATGGCTGCATTTTAAACTTAAATATTTAATCGCTCAAAAAACAATAAATTAACGGTTTACAACACAAAAGGGGGATCATCGAATGAATAAATTATTGTGAAACAAAACTTCCTTCTTCCCATTAACAATTATAATCTATTGCTTTAGATATTTCGAACAGTAGGTTAGCAACATTGTTGTTACATATTTTACTATAGTTGCTGTTGTTGTTGTTGCTATAATTGTTGCATAATAAATAAGACAAGGCCATTTAGCATGCATCTCAAATTAACTCATTAAAGCTTAAATGTTGAAAATTATATGGTTGCGTTAATTAAACGCTAAAGATTTTCGTTGCAATCACAAGTTAACACAAGCATGCATTTAATCGCAAAATCCATTAATGCATATTTGTAAGTGTAAATATTCTAATGTATAGGCGTCTCAGGTGTATGTATATGTTACTATTTGGTCTACTTTGAAATGTTACACATTTTCAGGTGTTTATTTTGGTTATTTTACTGCATTCGTTCTAGTTTTAATGTGTGATGTAGAAAAATCGAAAGTTTAATTGAATTTATTATTCCAAAAGAAAACTTGTGAAGGCTAATAGTAACAAATATCAAAAATTTTCTATTAAAAGTGAAAGTTTTAAAAATTAAAGAAAACATTCTATATAAGAAGAGATATTAATGAAAATTTTGCAAATTTTGAAACAGAAAATATGTATTTTAAAAATTTAAAGAGAAATTATTTAAAAATTTTTTGATAGAAACACAAAATATTATAAAAATTTTTATTAAAACATATTCTTTTTTAATTAAATTTAATAAAAAGACTCCTCTTAAAATATAATTCTTAATCCTTATCACCCTCTAATACATACAAATAAAGTTATAATTCAAATAAATTTTTTTGACATATTTTTCAAATACATTTTCGAAAAAAAGTTAAAATGAATGTCACTTAATATTTCAGTAAGACAGGCATACATATATACACACATGGATACATTAATGATCAAAATAATAGTATCGTTTTGACGAATTATATCACTACTCTTTAAGTAAATTGAAATATTACTGACTATTCTTTGTACTAGCGATTTAATTGGCGATAAGTAGTACAAGTATAGATCAGCTAAAACATGTAAAATGAGTAATAAATATGCTTCACATATTTAAAAGCAACCGATAATGTAAAATGTTTGATGTTAATCTGTAACTAGTTACAAAACTAGATAAAAGTTGTTAATTGTAAATTTTTGAACAGTGGAGTCTTTGTGGGAGTGTGTGTGTTCGGATGTTTACATGGCTGTGTGCTAATGCAGTGAATGTCATTTTCGTTTATAAATTGCAATGAGATCCTAATTAAAACTTCACGAATTTTATGATGATAATGTTGTTGATGAGGTTGGTGATGATGTCGTATATTGGCGGTGTTTGGTAATAATGGTTAGAACAGTTTGGTGCCGTTTGTATTTATAAAGTTTTAAATTTTTCGTTAGGAACAGGGATTTAAAAGAAGTGAAGTAACTAACTACTAACTAACTAACTAACTAACTAACTAACTAACTACTAACTACTAACTAACTAACTAACTAACTAACTAACTAACTAACTACTCTAACTAACTAACTAACTAACTACTAACTAACTAACTAACTAACTAACTACTAACTAACTACTAACTAACTACTAACTAACTAACTAACTACTACTAACTAACTAACTAACTAACTAACTAACTACTACTACTAACTAACTAACTAACTAACTACTAACTAACTAACTAACTAACTAACTACTAACTACTAACTAACTACTAACTAACTAACTAACTAACTAACTAACTAACTAACTAACTAACTAACTAACTACTAACTACTAACTACGAACTAACTAACTAACTACTAACTACTAACTAACTAACTACTACTAACTAACTAACTAACTAACTAACTAACTAACTAACTAACTACTACTAACTAACTAACTAACTAACTAACTAACTAACTAACTAACTAACTAACTACTAACTAACTAACTAACTAACTAACTAACTAACTAACTACTAACTAACTAACTAACTAACTAACTAACTAACTAACTAACTAACTAACTAACTAACTAACTAACTAACTAACTAACTAACTAACTACTAACTAACTAACTAACTAACTAACTAACTAACTAACTAACTAACTAACTAACTAACTAACTAACTAACTAACTAACTAACTAACTAACTAACTAACTACTAACTAACTAACTAACTAACTAACTAACTAACTAACTACTAACTAACTAACTACTAACTAACTAACTAACTAACTAACTAACTAACTAACTAACTAACTAACTAACTAACTAACTAACTAACTAACTAACTAACTAACTAACTAACTAACTAACTAACTAACTACTAACTAACTAACTAACTAACTAACTAACTAACTAACTAACTAACTAACTAACTAACTAACTAACTAACTACTAACTAACTAACTACTAACTAACTAACTAACTAACTAACTAACTAACTAACTAACTAACTAACTAACTAACTAACTAACTAACTAACTAACTAACTAACTAACTAACTAACTAACTAACTAACTAACTAACTAACTAACTAACTAACTAACTAACTAACTAACTAACTAACTAACTAACTAACTAACTAACTAACTAACTAACTAACTAACTAACTAACTAACTAACTAACTAACTAACTAACTAACTAACTAACTAACTAACTAACTAACTAACTAACTAACTAACTAACTAACTAACTAACTAACTAACTAACTAACTAACTAACTAACTAACTAACTAACTAACTAACTAACTAACTAACTAACTAACTAACTAACTAACTAACTAACTAACTACTAACTAACTAACTAACTAACTAACTAACTAACTAACTAACTAACTAACTAACTAACTAACTAACTAACTAACTAACTAACTAACTAACTAACTAACTACTAACTAACTAACTAACTAACTAACTACTAACTAACTAACTAACTAACTAACTAACTAACTACTAACTAACTACTACTAACTAACTAACTAACTAACTAACCTAACTAACTAACTAACTAACTAACTAACTAACTAACTAACTAACTACTAACTAACTAACTAACTAACTACCTAACTAACTAACGAACTAACTAACTAACTAACTAACTAACTAACTAACTAACTAACTAACTAACTAACTAACTAACTAACTACTAACTAACTAACTAACTAACTAACTAACTAACTACTAACTAACTACACTAACTAACTAACTAACTAAAACTACACTAACTAACTAACTAACTACTAACTAACTAACTAACTACTACTAACTAACTAACTAACTAACTAACAACTAACTAACTAACTAACTAACTACAACTAACTACTAACTAACTAACTAACTAACACACTAACTAACTACTAACTAACTAACTAACTACTAACTAACTAACTAA